GATGTGTTCTATTTCTAAAGATGGTGAAATTATCAGTAGAGGAGGAGTTTTTGCAGTACTTCCCGATGGGAATGTAGAAACATTGTTGCATTGTAGGCAGATTGTACAAACATGGAAACACAAGTTTTTGTCAGTCTGAACCTGCTGGTTCACTTGTTTTAATGTTTTCTGAGGGTGAGAAGGATCAGGTGAAATAGGTTTTCTTCTGTGCTTTGGCACTAGCTCTTTGTTGCACAGTTTCCTCTCTCTCTGCTGCCTTTAACTGTGTGGTGAAATGGGGGAACGTTAACCATGGACATGACAGTAGATGGCACTAGTTCTTTGTTGCACAGTTTCTCTCTGCTGCCTTTAACTGTGTGGTGAAATGGGGGAACGTTAACCATGGACATGACAGTAGAGTAGTTTTTAAGTTTTCTGGGCAGCCTCTGTAGGAGTTGTCCTGGCAGGTCCGTTCCCATCTCCTCATATCTCTTGGCCAACATACAAGTAATGGGTGATAGCATGGGGTGGGAAATGGCAGACAGAAACAGCTCTCGGTGTTAGTCAGTGCATGGCCCTCCTGGCAGGTGGTAAGAAGGGTGAGAAGGATGCCCTCAGAATAGGTCAGGTGTTGCTGTGGGAGGGCCTCAGACATACCTAGAGAGAGCTCAGGCTCCCTGGGGCGAGCAGTGGTGGTGGTGCTGGTTGTACAGCACGCTATATACAGTTTTATCTGCTGTCCAAATCAAATGCCCAGATAAAAATGGTATTCTAAATTACACTGACAACCCCATGTAGTGGAGTAGTGTCAGATGTCTTCAGTCTGATGATTCCTAAATATTTGCTAGCGGAAGAGTATAGCCTGGGGCTTCCAAACACGTTTTAAACTTCTGTGTCCCCAGAGTGATGAGACACTTACCCTAGCGCACATACCACAGAGCAGAGAGAGTAACTCAAGGCAGCAACTGAGCTACTAAAAGACTGAGAATTATTACAGACTTGATGGCAGCTACGTCATACCATTTTCTCCTGCAACAACTCCCTGTCACTATTTCTTATCCCCCTACCTTTCCCCTCACCTTCTCATGTACTGGCTTGCCGTAAAATTTGAATTAGTGGTTTCTGTAACAAACCCCAATAATTTGGGTTAAGTAATCAATTAATTTTCAATTTAAAATACAGGGTTTAGCTTTCCAAAATCTGTGTGGTGCATTGTTCCACAGGGATGAGGGAAGAAAGTATTTGTATTTGATGAATTAACTTTTGCCTTACTTGTTATATCGTGTACCAGTATTTGGCAAAATAGCATCACCGATGCATTAGTATTTGTACACAAGTACCCCGGCTGCCTCCCTTTTCTTCTTTCCACGTAGGGTCTTGAGCAGTCTGCTAAAGTAGGCGATCAGCTGATGAAAACCTCCAGCCTAAAGCAAAGCACAAATGATCGTCAGAAGGCGTGTAGAAAACCAATCAAGGAATATCCCAGCTCATCACTGGGGGATAGAGATTGAATGTTGTAGTAACAGTTTCTGGGAAAGCTGATTGTCATTGTAAATCCTTAACTTTCTAGTTCCTTACTTATTTATAAGCAGTGAAGAAGTTGCTGTTCCTTGCTCTGCCACATGTATTTGGGGGGGTCCTTTCTGCCAGAGTGGTGCAAAGAACTTACAAAAGGAGTCCAAGGAAAGCAACATTCATGTTACAGGCTGCAGTCTAGCAGGGAATGATCAGGAAGGGAAGCAGTCACTGTGAGCCCCCTGCTCCCTACCTCACTTGGAGAAGAAACGGTGGGCAACCAGGTGCAGTAAGGACATCAGTGCAACCACAGCCCCAGATTTTCACATGTACCTTGGGGCCTAACTTCCTATTTTTGTCAGCGAGATCTTTCCTAAGGATGTTGGAGTATAGTTCTTACTTGCCTCCAACACAACAGCCGTACTCTAGTTCTAAATTTTGCACTTAATTTTTCTCTATGTGTGTGTGAGAAAAAGAGATTTAATCATATTTTCTATTCTTTCTAAAGCATTTTGAGAGTCTCATGGAAAAGTGCTAGGCAGGAGCAGTGCCATTACAGGTAAGCTTCCAGATTATACACAGCTAGAGATGACAAAAATAGCACACAACTGGGACCACAGCAAGGACTGGGGTAAGGAATGGTCAAGGAAAGACAGGGAAGCCCCTGCTGAGTGGGAAGAGATATTGACAGCATGATCACCCATAGTAACTAACTCCCAAGAAGTGCACAAGGATCATTACAGATCTTGCAAGGTATAACAAACAGGATGTAATTATTAAGTAGGATGATTCACTCTTAAAAATGATTATTAATCATGCTATGAACTGTGATGAGGATGAAGAGATATAAAATATTAATTGCTATGTGATGGTTAATTAATATATCCTCAGGTTGTGACAGTCCTAATTAAAAAAAAATTATATTCACTTTAGCAAGATTAGAATCATAGAATCACAGAATGGTTTGGGTTGGAAGGGACCTTAAAGATCATCTAGTTCCAACCCCCCTGCCATGGGCAGGGCCCCCTTCCACTAGACCAGGTTGCTCAAAGCCTCATCCAGCCTGGCCTTGAACACTTCCAGGGATGGGGAATCCACAACATCTCTGGGCAACCTGTTCCAGTGCCTCACCACCCTCTCTGTGAAGAATTTCTTCCTGACATCTAATCTAAACCTCCCTGATTTCAATTTATACCCATTACCCCTTGTCCTATCACTACCGGCTCTTGTAAAAAGTCCTCTCCCAGTACCCTTGTAGGCCCCCTTCAGATATTGGAAAGCTGCAATGAGGTCTCCTCGGAGCCTCCTCTTCTCCAGGCTGAACAAGCCCAGTTCTCGCAGCCTTTCGTCGTAGGAGAGGTGCTCCAGCCCTCTGAGCATCTTCGTGGCCTCCTCTGGACTCGCTCCAAGTGGTCAATATCCTTCTGATGTTGAGGGCTCCACAGCTGGACGCAGTACTCCAGGTGGGGTCTCATTAATTAATCCAGGAAAAGATAGTGCTGAGTATGAGCAAAGGCATTACAGTTCTGCCTGCCAAAAATGTGTTTATTAGTTTTGGTCCTGGATAAATTTGTTCAGTGGAAGCTGATGGTATTAACCTGAGAAAGTTTACCATAAAAATGCTCTTGTAGGTGATCTGGTTTTGTAGCCAGCTGATGGTCTCATGATGCTGAAGGGAACAGAAGTGTTTCTGCTGTCTATAATATGAGGGACTGTGGCCTCAAGATTGGTGATTCAGAATGAATGAACACCAGTTTATATTTTGCTGTACTCCAGAAACATCTCAACATTTCTTTCTACCTGAAAATCTCTTACCAAGTTTGTAGCACCAACTGGTTTTATTCTAGTGTAGTTGATACCAAGAACTTCAGTAAGGAAGCATCACTCTCTACGATGGAGGCTCAGTAGCCTGCCTTGGCTCTGTTCTGTAGCGTGACAGATGCAGCCATCCTGCTCTTCCCTGCCTAAGCAGTGGCACTGCTTTAAAACCTGTCCTGGACAGTGAAAACTCAATGCGTTTCCCTCCACAGACCTGAGCTATGACCAAATACGAGCTGTGGGAGGCAAAGTCTGTCAACAGACTTGGCCAGAGCAGGGAACTGTAAAGACTGGCTTCTAGACTAATGGGGTCTGCAATTTCTGTATTGTAGTTTGGAAGTGCTGTGGTTTCATGTGTATCACTGAGAAGTTATTTGTGATGAAAAGCCCATAGTTTAGCAGCTGTGCAGGCTACGCACATGTAGTACTAGGAGAGAAAGTTTATTCCTGGGGCCCTCTGCCTGTACCTCTCCTCCACACTTCAGGCTCCTCAAATGCCATTGTTTTTTTCTCTCTCTGCCCAGAGCTCTTCAGTGTCTGCTTCTGTTAATGTGGGGATCATCCTGGGGTTGTGTGAAGTCCAACTTTTAAGTGCCCAGACTTCTGAAGAGGTATTGTCTGAAATCTGGGCTTTACAGCTGAAATATGGTATAGAAAGCTCAGAGTCAGATTGCTTTTGAACAAGCTAAGTCATGAGTTGGCAGTAGTGGCAGCTCTAGCTGGCACACCCAAAAGTTCTCAGATTTGGGCTGTCATCTTGGTACCCGTTTCAGCTATCTCCATCTGCATTACATGCAAGCAGACATACGTACCATTTGATTTCAGGTTCATAGTAACTTTATTAAAATTCAAAACCTTCTGTTAGTAGAATTTAACTATTTCAAAAGCATAAGACATTTACGGATACATAGTTCTCTAGGACAGGGGGTTCCTGGGAGTTCATGAAATACAGATTCCTGACATGGTTTGCTTTTGCTTATTCAGAGAAAAACAAAGGTTTGTCTTGCATGATGATAAAACTGAGGTAACTTCACAGAAGTCAGTGGGTAGGATAAGTCTTCACCAGTACAAGGCTGGATAGGGTTACATTCATAGAGTTACCGTGAATGACTTCAGGTCATCCCTTGGCGAGAGTATCCAAACGTCATCGTGGACAGAGCTAACAGTGCAATACTGCGTATACAAATAGAGCCCAAGCATCTTCTGAATATTGCACTGGTCAGGTAGTAGCCTGAAGCATGAGATTACTTATAGATTATATAGATTATATGAGCAGCCATTACATTATACAGCACCTTCTCACACTCAGCACTCAATGCAGAACATTCTGAACTCATCCAGCTCTGTGGGAGTTTATCCTCTTTCCTACAATGTGTGGAACTATCTGCCATTCACCCTTAAATGCCATACTGGTTAGGAGGGCACGGATGAGAAGATATCTACATTCAGTTGTAAATAAATATTAACAAGCATTTCAGAAAATCAAGTGTAACAGCATCCAGCTATAAAACAAAGAAGTCAGCAGGCGTTCAACCGATGATGAACAGATTCTGAGTTCGTGTTTGTTCAGAGATTTTATTGCCAATTAAGAAATAGGAATTAAAAGCAGATGCTAAGGCTTTCTTCCCTGTTCTGTGCAGCACTGATGATTCCATTCAGCTGGCCTTAGATCCTTGCCTAGGACAGGATTATTTGCGTTTGGTGGTATGTTTTTGGTCTATTTTCTTCATAGCATCCTGCACCCATTTTTTATCAGGGCTGACGCAGATCTTGATACCCTTTGTGTCAAGAAACCTGTAGGAAGAAAGCAAGCAAACCAGGTGGCCATTAAATTCCAGTCTCCAAACCCAGGTCTACTCTTCCTGTTTTTTATGCAGAACATGAGGAGCAATGTGGTAAAACCATAGCACATGCCGAAGTTTGTAGTTGTTACTTGGAAAAACAGCAGTTAGCAACATTAGTTTCCTATTGATGAGGATAGGTATGTATGTAACATACGTGTTTGTGTGCCTGTATACTGAAAAAAAGGAGCATACTTGATATTCTGAGATTTTATATGAAATCATGATGCATATTTACCTCGCAGAAGCAGATCCCAGATGTGGTAAAAATACATGCTCATGAGCTCAGAAGACCAAACACAGCTCCTAGCAGGAGTCAGAGCTACCCCAGGCTCTTCCACATGCTCTTTTCCCTTGGCTCAGTTCAGCACATTGAGCTGCTGATGGCTCCACCCCAACCCCTCACTGAGATTTGTCCCCACTTTCTGGGCACAAAAGGTCTGGCTGTTGAGTGCTATTTCTGCCAGTCTTTATGAGCAGTAAGCATCTCCCAGCTCTCTGAGGCCCACCCTTCTCCCCTCACTCCCTCAGCTCAGAGGTGACTGCCTCATGGGGGACTGGCAGGGTGACCTGAACTAGCCACGTGCAGTGAGTTGGGCCATGAAGCGTTTGATGCCCTTTTCCTTTTCGATGGCAGCATGTTTGCATAGTCTTTGCGAGTCTGAAGGTGAGTTGTGCCCTGGATACTTACATGATGGCGTTGATGGGAACTTGTTGCTTTTCATAGCTGACAAGGTTTCGGATGCTCAGTTGCTGTGTAGACAGACGTACGCAACTGAATTTGCGCATGCGCTGACTTCCAATGCTCCCTAGAAGGGGAAGAATAGATAAATGACAAAGGCAGTCAATATTATATTCATATTTAGCCATAATTACTTATTAAATTATGAATTCCAGCAGATTTCCAGTTGTGGTTAGAATACGGGTGTCTCATGAGATGTACAGCCAGAATGCCAGTTATACAAGAGAGTTTAGGGTATCTTTTGTGATGCATCCTACTGTCCCTAGAGTGTTACGCTATTTCAGTTAAGACACTAATCTTCTCCTGACACCCGTTCTCCTGAACAGTTTATAATCCTTCTGCCCCAAGAGAGTTACTGCTTCCATAGCAGAAAGGGTATTTGGCATCATTTATAATTAGGTCTGTATCATCTGCAAGGAAGTGCCCATATAAAGAACCAGGACCTTTACTGGGTGGATTACCGATTGTCAGCTGAATGTGGATCAGTAACTCCCCCTATTTTCCAAGTGAAGGAAAGAAGAGGAAACGAAAGGAAATCAAGGCTATTTGTCTGACACTGGACATCGAAAACTAGCCTTAAAAAAAAAAAATAGTTGAAAGAGAGAGACGTGTGTCTGTCAGAAAGCTAAGTACTTGCATTCTCTTGCTCTAAGTCTGGTTTCATAGACAATGGAGTGCTGCTTAGCCCTCTCTTTCGTCCAAAATTTTCATACATTTCAGGGAAATGCACTGGTGATTAATAAAGAAGATCGCGATATCAGTGTAGAACTCTCTGGACAGACGTTACCTTACGTTGTGATAACTAAAAGTGGGAGCTCATTTAAGTGAGCTGGACTATATGTATACATTACTGGAATCCTCTGCTTGCTGATTTCTGGTTTCCTCCCACCCATCAAAGGCAGTTTTGGGAAGGCATGAGGGGGACAAACAGAATGCAGCTGTATTCTGAGGTTTCTTTTTGAAGAGAAACTGGTTTGAGAAAAGTCCAAGAGCTGCTCAGGTACCACTTGCTAGATAGAAAACCTGCTTCACGTAATCTCGTTATCCGTCAACTTTTCTTTGTTTGGAACAAATGGAATAGCTGAGGCAAACATCAGCCTGCGGAGAAGCTGTAGCATAGCCAGTGCACGGGTACTGGCAGAGTTGCTAATTCCTGAGATTGCGTTAGCCTGAAGGGATATATCCTCAGATCTTGCTTTAGGCATGAGTAATGCCATATATTTTTTTGATGATTCATTACAAATATGTATTTTACTGCCTCAGATTGGTTTTCAAAATGTGACATTAAAGAGCTCAAAGGTAGTCAAACAATGCTTACTACTTCTCTCTACGACCAAACTATCTCCAGGGAATGCATTCAGGGAATACTAGCAGAGCTTCTCTAAGCCTGGGAACAAAACCATACTGCCCTGCACCTATAACTACTTTTTTTTTTCTTTATCATTCTTCTTTCTAATCCTTTTTCTGTCCTTTGCAGCTGCCTCAGCTTGCTTTTTCAGACTTGGTGATATTTATGGCAAATTATACAACCTGGAGAATGATATGACAAACTGGCAGCCTGTGACACAAAGCCACACGCTGCCAAGATGAACAGCGGTAGCGTTAATCAGCGTGCGAGAGTGTAGCATGATCTAGCTCTGGGGGTACCAGGTCAACGTGCTCGTGTGTAGCTGCCTCATCTTGTGAACGCTTAGCAGGTCTCAGTTTGGTTTTGGTGTGGTTTTGTGCAGATGCCTTTTCAGTGTGTTTCTCTTTGCATATTCTTGTGGGTTTGCATATGGCTTGGATAAGAGTGCTCTCTGTGATTTTTATGTGCTTGTTTGCATGAATCTGATTGTGCATAAGAAGACATGTGCTTATGGTTGGACTTGATGATATTAAAGGTCTTTTCCAACCGAAATGATTCTATGTGTGTATGTTCGTGTTTTTGCATCATACACATGGCTTAATACAAAAGTCACAGACCTAAATATCGCTGTTGACAAACCTATTTAAAGCATGGCTAATAAACATGGCTCATGCCAGTTCTCATAAATGGTCTCAAGCAAGATGTTAAGTTCTATGAAACCAAGAAGAGAGAGAGGACATTGTATAAATCCATCTCCCTCCTTGGAAATTATTGTTATAGTTTGCCTATCTATATGTATTTGGCTAGAACCAAGCAAATAGGCAATATGTGATACAGAACTGGAAAAACTTTTTAAAGTAGGAACATTAGAGGGATTAAGGCTATAGAGTTAGAGAGACACAAATGAAAATAATACAATAAAAATACATATGAAATTAGTTTATCTAGAAAAAGAAGAAAAAAGTAAATCTTATTCAAGAAATATTTTTCACAAAATGTTATTAACCTATACAAAACTCATTGCTATGGTATCAGTTAGATTAAAAGACATTGTGCCTTCTTGATTTTAAGAGGGAGAATAATGCACAGAAACCCTTTAAGAGTCCTAAGGCACAGCAGCTCTCCTTGCATTAAGGCAGAAGCCAACCACTAATTGACAGGACATCAGATGAAATCTCCCATAAGGCTGCCGTTCCTGTGGTTCTGATCTGGAATTCTTGCAAGTTTTATCTTATGACTCAGCTCTGGCTGAGGATGAATCCGGCTCATCAGACCGCTGGCGCAATACGGAGCAATCCCTGCCTTCCCCTTGGGTTGTAAACTTACCTTTCACCGTGTGCACGGTGAAGGTGGCAAGCCAGAAGATGACAAGGAAAGCTGCAGCGTGGAGTTTCATTGCTGGTGGCTTCTTCGTCAAGGCAGAGAAGAAAGTGGCTATTGTCCCCCCCTTTCACAGAGGTTATATATTGTCGTTCAGTGGTCAGTTCTTGTGTTCACTTTTGGGGCGTCATGGGGGGGCTGACTGTAAGTGGAAAAAACTGAGTGGCAGTACTTTTTCTGGTGTCAGAGAACCACCTCCTTTCCCCCACCCATCCTTTGCTAGCCCCCCTGTGAAGGCTTTTCCTGCTCAAACCCTGCTGTGGTTGAACTTGCTTTGGTGTTGTGAGTAGAGTTTATTTCAAGCTGCAAAAAGTGAGAGCTCTTGTTCTGTAGTGGAAACCTTTAATAAATGTTCCTGTCCTTTCACACCTCGATGTAGAGAGCTGTAGCTAAGCCACACCGCAGAAGCACAGGGTGACATTCAGAGTTACCTCTTTGGCCAATGGGCTGCTTAAAAGGGGAACTGTGAGGTAGAGGATGATGGAAACAGGAACACCTGGGCTTTTTCCATGGTGGCTGTAGGTGGTCACTTTAGCGAGAAGCTTTGGAGGAGCATCACTCCCATTTCCTACGTGTGGTGGAGCTGGTCAAAACTCTTCTGTTTTCTCTGTGATTTGGTACGGCCAAAACTGATACCGCTGTGTGCTGGGAGAAGGAAGAGTGAACACACTTTTACATACAGAGCCAGATCCAATAGCCTCCCTGCCAGTCAGGCAGAACTAAAATACAATTGTTTCAGAGAGGAGTAAGAGTTTATAAACTTTGGGTTTGATGTTTGTTTGTTTTGTGTGTGGTCTTTCTAGTATATGGAATGGAGACCAGGCAATTGGAGAGGCACAATTTATAGGAAAGGAGAAAAAAAGTTCACTGCACTTCCATGTAAACATGGTGTTGATAACACATCTGTCAACTTGTTCCAATTTCTAGTATATGGAATGGAGGCCAAGAAAATAACCAGGCAATTGGAGAGGCACAATTTATAGGAAAGGAGAAAAAAAGTTCACTGCACTTCCATGTAAACATGGTGTTGATAACACATCTGTCAACTTGTTCCAATTGTACCTCTATCCAAAGTGTCCTTTTCTGCAGCCTGTGATAGTCCTATTACCCAGTTTAGGTGTCCTTTCTGTGTTGCGGTAAGGTGGTCTGAGTTACTGGACAGCATTGCTACATGTCAGTGGTTTTATGCCTGCAAATATTTTTCAGGCAGTGGCACCATCATCCAGATCCTCTGAGCAGAAACCTTTCGTGCTTTGTACGCTGGAGCGCTCCTGTGCCCGGCAGAAAATGTCATGCCTTGCTAGGCCCACAGAGGCCTGGCCAGGCCTGGTGTAAATAGGTGAGCACCAGCTGCCTGATGGATGAGATGGCAAGGCAGTGGTGCAGAATAGCTGCCAGGGCAAAGCCCGGAGCATCTGTCCGTTCGTGCGAGTCTCAATTTTTCCTTGCTCTCACCTCCAGACCCCACCTCAGCTGCTTACTTCCAGTTTTCCAAATTCTTGATAACCTCAATGTAAATTGTTTATTGTGGGGAAACTCAGCATGTGGAAGTCAGTTCCCTAAGATTCCTCAGGCAAATTAAAATCCAACTAAGAACTGAGCCCAAATATTTGATTCCTAGGCTGTAATGGCTGGTCTGTAACCTCAGGAGCAGTCCGCACGTCTTGCATGTGGACAATCTGCTGCTCGGTTTACTTGAGTATACATGCACATTCCTTGTTCCTTTTGGTTTGATTCTTTCATCTGGCATACGCCGTGCAACCCAGGGAAAAGCAATGGCAAAAGTAGACAGTGAGCAGGTGTATGGTACTTGCTGCTTTACTCAGATGCCTGCCAAACTCACCTGCAACGCTACTGTAAGTTGCAATGAAATGGAAGCCAAAGCTTCAACCAAAGACACTAAAGGAGATGCCTGATGCCACATAGGGGAGTAACCATACTGACCTTAGCAGCACTACTGGGAAATCCAGTCTGAAGTTTGTGTCCAGGCAGTGAAGCAGCCTGGTGTTTTGCCGAACGCTGCCTGAAATCACTCCTCCAGTGAGATATTCTAACGATTTGGCGCTTGGCAGCTTTGAGATGCAGGGTAGCAACTTTGTCATTGATGGTAGAGAAGTTTTCTCTCCATTAAGAGAGGAGATGCTCTCCCCCTTCTGCACACTGAGTACGTACATACGTGCACATACCCACTGTCTACAGCTTTGAGAGGAAGGGTTGCCAGCTGTACTGAGCATGAGCCAGTGCAGAAAAAGTCAGTCCTTCCTGCAGAATATTCTGCAGGTTGTAGATTCATCCCTAAGGTGGTGTTAGAAAACCTGTTGCTTCTTCAGTTTTCCACCATTCTTAAGGTGAGGTGGGAAAATTGTCCTGTGGCAAGTTTTTTCCCCTCTTTGTAGTTCTCATTTGCTGTGGCCTCCTGGTGTGGTGTTGAATAACTTTACCACGATGCTTCCCAAACCCTTGGCTTCAGGTACGGTGTTGTGTGCACCGTGAGAGCTGCCCCTCTCCTCCCCCCCACCCCTCATGTTTAACTCTATTGGAAGGAGGCAGATGCACACAGCGGATACTGCAGCTAGGGATGTGTCGATGTATCCGTAAACCTGCTCACCTGCAGAAAAACACAGGCTTCTCGTTGGTCTCCTAGGCTTCCTATTCAGCGTGGGAAGGGGCTGGGACACAGGCCTGGGAGAGGACAGCAACAGCAAGCTCCTGCTTGAGGAGTTCAAGGGCTCTCCCGAGCCCTTCAGCCCCGGCTGGTGCGGGGCAGCCTGCCTCCACTTCAGCAATGCAGCAGCTAGGACACCGCGAGGTGCAGGGGTGTGTGAAGTCGGGGCCTGCCCCAGCACTGCTCCTCACCAACTGCTGACTGCAATAGTTCTCTTAATTTTCAACACGGTCGAGAAGTTTTTACGGGAATAATTGTTGCATGTACCCTGTTTCATGTCAGCAACCCTGCTGAGGGAAAAGAAATCTGCAGTGAGCACAGTGCTGGGCCCAATATCAGAGTTTACTAACCAGGGTAAAGAGGCTGCAGTATTGTACCTTCTCATACTGTAGTTAGCTTTCAAAAAAAGAGACCAGGGTCTTTGCAAGTAAGTAAATTTATAGTAAATCTAGTAAAAATTATAGTAGGTTCAAGTAAAATCTAGAAATGAGAGCCTTTAGTGAATATTCAGCAGCCCCTTGAACTTGAAGCTGTGCCAGCAGGTCACTATCACTCTTGAAGACTAAATCAGGGCGTTCAGTGACTTTAAGAGGGGTCTTAAGACCTCAGCTTAGGCACATCTATGTCTCGGACAACTGTTTCTAGGGTGGGAGATGCCACTCTCAGGAGATACGTGTCTGTCTCTATTGTCTACAGAAGTGATATACACATCTCTTATGCCAGACACGGTGAGTGAGTCAAGTAAGGTGGGATAAACCTGCCCCTAATTTATTTTGGTTTTGCATTGTGCCTTAACAGTAGTACGGGTTTAAGAATTACCAGCAAGTGACATCCAGCTGTGACAATTACGTGACTTTCCTTCCCCACTTCTCCCTTTGCTTTTCATCACTTCTGAGCTGTAGATTTCATGCTGATTTTATAGGTACCTCAGTTTTTTACGTTCGGTCTTTTGCATTCATACTGTAATGGAGTAGAAACGAACACCTGTGAGGTGCCCACATCTCAGCTGAGAGACAATAGCTTTTAATGTAATTTGATCTCTTCAATCCCATTTTTAACTACTCTCTTTTGTGCTGGTTTTGGCAGAACTCCACCTTTAGAAATGTAACCCTGTTAACAATACTTTCTCTTAATCATAATAGAGGTTTTGCTTGTAGGCCATCTGTTTCTATTACCATACTGCCAGCTTTTCCCTGGTCCTTCTAACATCCTCCTCCCTTGAGGTGTCACGTGCTCTTAAGTAAGTTAGTTGTATCAAAATCCCTCCTTCAGTCATCCAACTTAAAGCATTCAGATCTGTAAAATTAGACTGAGAATGATTTGGTTTGAAAGGGACCTTGAATCCAACAGTTAAAGGCTACTCTGCACTCTACAGTCAGCTCAACAGCCAGCTGTCTGCAGGCATGCACCGCTTTTGCTGATGCTTTAGCCTGACTCCACGTGAATGTGGTATTCTCCATACAGCAAAGAGTCTTTGGTCTTTCTTTCCATTCACTCTTCTTTTGTTCTGTTTTGTTTTCAATGAGCAGTTGTACAGTCAGCCCAGAGTTTACAAGAGGAAGACTGATCCTCATCTTTATAAGGTTAGTTAGTCTTGTCTGGTTTTGTTCTTCATGAGATGCGCACCAGGAAGCTGAATAAACACTGTGCAGTGCTGTTGCTGCAGAGACTCAGAGGGGTGACTACCGTGTAATTCTGTGAAGGTATCTAAATATTTTACATGCTGAAACAGGAGCCAAATACCTTTGGGAATTTGTGGAAAATTCTCAGTCCATCCTGTTGCTTTTTTCTTCCTTGTTTTGGGTTTTTTTGGGGTTATTTCTTTTTCTGCTTTCTCTTCCTCAGCTCTCACGTAAAACAGAGAATGCAAATTTTGTTTAGCACTTCTTTCTGTGCGTGTCATATCTGAAGGATCAAGGATGTGGGAACCGTCTTATTCTGTTAGTGTTCAGGAGAAGAATCAAGCCTATTGTGTGAAAAATAAATCTACCTTTTGATTAACCATGGATAGTCAGTGTCTGTAGACACTGCCGTTGGATCTGAACCAGCGTATTGCTTCTGGGTAAGCCTCAGCTTTCCTCAGAAAGCTGAAGAAGCTCAGCTGCTTGTGTTTTCTCAGTGGGAACAATTTTCTCAGCTGTATCTCGTGCTCTGGAGAGACCCTCTTGGCCAATCTGTATGTGTTTGGATGCCTTTGCTCCATGATGGTCACCACAGGGAATATACTGAAGAGTTAAGGTTGTTAGGGGAAGGGGGGAGTTACAGGTATAAGAACAGGCCTCAGTGATACTTGTATGCCTCACTCTGTCTGTTGTGCGTGTACTATTATTTACAAGCACACAGGCTTTTTG